GAAACCCCTGTGGAGCACAGTTGTTTATACTTACAATGTGGCCTTTTTCATGTCTCATACAAATGTCTGGGAGTTCACAAAATACCCTTTGCCGTGTCTGGGTGAAACATCAACCTCTATCCCTCCCAACACTGTGCTGCTTTTGAAGTCTCTGCTTAGCTCTCTAGTTTCTCAGCAGCTTTCTTTGCTGGGCCTCCCAGAGTTTTGCCTGGTACATTTAAGCTTAAGGATTGGCTCTGAGAAGAAATTCTTTGCAGACCTTTGAGGCTCTTTCTCTCGGGCTCCTCCTTTCTGGAACTCAGTCCACCAAATCCCAGTTTCCTCTGCAGCTCTGAACTCTCATCTCTGTCGCTTCTACCCAGTGAGACGCCACTCTCTGACTGGGCAGTATTTCCTTGCACTTTGGTTTGGAAAATGCCCTCAGGATGAAAGCTGGAATGAACATGGGGAAAGATGGAATGAATCATCTAATGTGTTTCATTTCTTATTCTTTACTCTCAAGGATCATAGCCTTAGATTGGCTATCATCCAATATTTTATACAGCTTTTAGAATTGTTCATGGGGGGAAAGTTATTCCAATACTAGCAATTCCATCCCGTGCATGTGCCCATATGACCCAGCAATTCCGCCCCTAGGTATATACCCTAGAGACAATTATTTTAGACATAACTTTCATGCCAGGCATCTATACATATATATATAAAATAAACATATATATTTATATATATATGATAGATAGATATCATTATCCCTGTTTTTAGTGATTAGGAAACTGAGGCATAGAATGTTCTAAGAGAATTGCCTAAAATCAACCCAGCCAGTCAATAATAGAATTGGAACTGGGATTTCTTTGGCTCCAGTTTCTACAATAATATGCTACCTACTTAGTTACTGAGAAGTCAGTGTATAAATCCCATACAGGAGTCACTAAAATTTTACCCAAAATTTTGCAGCAATATTTTTGTGGATTAAAATATTTAGAGAGAGAGAATATTAAAGTCACTGGTTAAAAATCATAACTGGTTTTTGAGAGTTTTGTTCTCCTAGTCATAGATAATTCATAACTGATTCTATTGAAAATAGCAAGAGTTTCCGAAGTATCATTCATAGATTTTTGGCTAATATCTTGGGATATAAAAATAATTCTGACCCATTTAGAGAAAACTGATACTGCTAAATCAGTGCATATGGAAAGCTTTCTGTTGATGGAGACTTTGTATACTTTTGGAAATGGAACAATTTACAAATAATACTTAGAAATTTTAAACCTATCAGAATGTTGTCTGACCCTGCAAAGTTAAGCCTTATTCACAAATAATGATGCTAATCTCCTTCTCTGATTCCCTGTCTTTCTCAGCAACAGCTTGCATATAAACCTGTAAGCAGTATTCTGAGTTTCTTCCAAAGGAATAAGTTTCCAAAACACAAAATTTAAAAGTTACAGAAATTAACAAAAAAGAAGAGTAAAATGTATAAACAATCTTTGAGATCTATTGCCTATTATTTGTTTCTGTCCTTGGTCTATATTTTTTATATTACTAATATTGTCTACAGACTGGTCTTCATTGATGAGAGGTGCTCACAGAAGCCTATGCTTTTACCTCCTAATTGTTTTATCCATTTCTTGGATAAGACCTACTCATTCTACTTCTCTTCCCCCTCTCCACAGATTTTCGACTAGCCTTGCTTTCTTCTCTCCTGTATGAGTTCAATTACGTGAAATCAAAATGCTCTATTATTCTAGATGCCGTACATGTAGTAGTGTGTGCTGAGTAGATTCAGCCAGACTTAGGAGAGTAAGAAAAAGATTAAGAGAATGATGTAAGGAAAACATATGGGCCACTGGGCATTTGCAGTGGCACCAGTAATTCCAGGCAACTGTTCAGCAATTTGGGGAGGACACTTTTGAAGCATGACTCTGAAGCTTTTATCTAATACAATACACAGGTGCAGTCTATTCTAAACAGGTTAATCAAAATGTATCGTGACTCTGAGGTCTGAAACACAGGCCAAACTCTACTCTTCCCTACCTGAGTGGAAATGTCTTCAAAATGAGCAATGCTTAAGAAGGTGTAATGGAGAGCCAGCTTCTGCTTCCTGGAGAAATTCATGAACAGAACTAGCGTGTCTTAAGGGAAGATCTAGAGATGTCATGGCAAGAGTGGTAGAAGTCTTTGTGGAGTGAAAGTTTTGTAATAGCATTGTGCCACTAACCACTAATGACCCAGGAGTGATAAACTGAGCAATACGTGAGACCCTGAACTAAAAAACTGCATACAGATCCCCTACCTGCTGCTTTCGCCCGCTAACCTTTGGATCAGAGATGGATCGTGGATTTTGAGGCCAAAGTTTCAGACAAGGCTCTTGCAGTGGGAAAGGGAAACAGGCTTCCTCCACATCTTGTTTCTGTTGAAGTCCATGTCAGGTATTCTACTATGACACCTGCACTTATGACAGCTGTTTCCCTAGCTCAGATGCTACTTAGCTGTCTTTTTAGAAGATGAGCATGCAGCACAGAATTGGGGGTAAGAAGGGATCTGACGCTGTATCCCCTCTATAGTGTGAAATGATAAAAACATAAGGTATGAGACTGTGTTGAGGCCTTTTCTACCAGCAGGACTGACATTTTACAGCTCTCACCTGTTACTCTCTCATCTTGATTTTCTCCTTTCCTGACTCAATGGAGATTTAGATCTTTTGGATTCAATAGTCCCTCTAGAGAAATGACCAGAAGCGAATGCAGACATTTAAAAGGAAGCAAGCCAAAAGTGAAGGAAGAGGGCACTGAAACAACCAGTCATTCCAGTCAGACACCTGAAATTACCATAAATGTTGTTTTAATAGAGAGACTTCTACCAGGACATGCTGCCAAGTTCAGCTGAAGTGCATTTTATTCATGTCTCTTACGTTTGGTGGGTGCCCCAAGGGCAAATTCATTGTGAACTATTGGAATTTTAATGCCTACGAGGTTATAAGCGTTGGTCCTGTTTGTCACAATTCTTCAGAGAGTTCTGTGCCAACTCCGAGGTGGAAAAAGCTGAGAATAAAAGATTGTTGAGAAAGAATAGGACAATGTGTTAATCACAAAATGGACCACGTTCAAATTGGGACTTTTTTTTTTTTTTTTGTAGAAAAAGACCTCATGGATATTTTAGGTAGTAACTGGGTTTTAAATAAATTGAAATAGAGATTGGAGAGGTTTTTGAATACTTATTTTCTCAGGTTTTTGATGTTAAAAAAAATAAAAAACAAAAACCCAAACAGACCCTCAACATTGTTAAAGGGGATGTGAGCTTACCGCTTAACAATGAGTTCATCCTCCTTTTATCCTCTCTTTCCTTTTTCCCCTCTGTTGATCATAGTCTGTTCCTTTCCTGAATGTTATTTCTTCCCAACCCCCCTCTCTGTGGTAAATTTCTATCACGAGTATTTTTTTTTTTTTTTAATTTGTGGATTTACGGTGCATTTGGATTCAGTAGTGGTATTAGCATGCCTTGTGTAAACAAGCATACCTATTAAACATACTCAGGGCAAATACTTCCACATATTGCACTGAAATGGGAAAATTTTAAAGTACACATCATTTTTCACTGTAAGATGCCTATCCAGGCAATCAAGATAAAGGAAAATGTGAAGAATGTATCTCAATTATTAATTGGGCTTTGGATCAACAGGTATAGGAGATGCCTGAGACAGGGTTAGTTCGTTTGGTAGAAATATGGTCTTGTTCAGGTCTAAGATTTCTATGCCAGAGACGTAGGACTTTCCCTTTGGGGAACGGAGGGCCTCTGGTCAAAAGCACCACTGAAGGTGGTATCAGGTCCTCCTACTGGGTGGTTTGCCTCATTTAACTCATACAACAATCCCAGGAGAAAGACACGATTAGCCCCATTGCACAGAGGAGAATGCGTCTCAGTAAATCGCTTAGGGTCACTTTGCTGGTAAGTTTCAGAGGCGCTTTGGAACTCAAGTCTGCCTATGTTTCTTTCGCGGCGCTACATTGCCCGAAAAGAGATGTTTTGAGTTGGTCTGATATGCTCTTCCCAGTTCCCAGAGTGAATTTTTTATGAGTTGTTTCTTCTCCCATTTCTTTCAAGCCCATTATGATGAGAGCAGGTGTAACATTTAGGATACTAGAGATTGGTTTTCTAATCCAGTGTCAGCATTTGCTCAGGAGTCCTGCCGCTGTCCTGGGCAGGTGGTGCTGGATTCCGAGGCGCTTCGCAGGAGCGAGAAATTCCCTTCCAATTCCGGAGGGAGGATCTATCTCCAGCCCGCTCGCTCGATTGGGGGGAACAAAAAAACCCCACCTAAATCCAGATGGTGGGCTTCCCTATCTGTGGACTAGTTGGAAGACGATAAGGGCACTAAGACACCTCGGGAGCGCCCTCTGGCGAAAGCAGAGCGCGCGTGTCCCCCGCCTTCGCCCCCCTTGGCAGCCGCCGCGGCGCCCCCGCCTGGTTCTCAGGGTTCACTCTCGGTCTCTCACTCCGTGAGACACAGACGGCAGTTTTCCGAGCAAACGAGCGAGCGAGCGAGCGAGCGGGGGACAGGCTGAGGCGGCGCCAGCACAACTGCCGCCGCTCGCCCTGAGAAGACCTAAGCATCCGGAGAGAAGGACCTCCATTCCTTTTTCCTCTTCCCGCAGGGGTCCCTCTGGCAGACAGACCACCCCGCGCCCCCGCGCGACTCCCTCCGCAGCCACTTCACGGGGCGTGCCAGGACTTGGGGACGCCGCTCAGGACGAGCCAGGGCGGGAGTCGGCGGCGGCACCGGTCCGAGGGTGCCCGCACTGCTGCGGGAGAGGAGTGAGTGGCGGGCTGGGCGGCGGCGGCAGCAGAAGGAGCGGGTGCCTCCCCGCCTCGTCGCTTCGCAGGCAGCACCGTCTGCCAGGGCCGCGGCCGCCCGGCCGGGTCCTCTGCGCGTTCCCGGGCCCGGAGCCGGCGCAGGATGCGCCCGGCTGCGTTCTGATCGTCGCCGCGCCGCTGCCTCCGACGCGATGATCCCCCCCGAGCCGCCGCAGCAGCCGCTGCAGTCGCCGCCGCCAGCCCCGCCAAACCATGTGGTGACCACCATCGAGAACCTACCGGCCGAGGGCAGCGGCGGCGGCAGCGGGAGCCTGTCCGCCTCCTCCCGGGCCAGCGTGAGCCAGAGGATCCGCAAAGTGCTGAACAGGTGAGCGGCGGCGGCGCGGGGCCAGGGCGCGGGGTACTGAGTCTGCGGGCGCCCGGCTCGAGGTACCCTCCGTCCCCAGGGCGGTCCCGGAGGGACGGTTGAATGAGGAGGCCGGGCGTCGACGGGACCCGCGCTTGCGGAGAGGGCGCGGGGACCCACGTTGGCCGCGGGAGCTTTGTCCCAGCGCGCGGAGACCCGGAGCGTCTGAGCTGCCGCTGGTCCGAAGCGGGAGTTGAGAGAGAAGCGAGGTTTTCTGTACCCGTCTGCCCTGATGTGTGTCCGCACTGACGCCCTAGCACACGCAGGCTGCCTCACTTCCCATTCCCACTCTCACCCCAGGTTTCCGCTCAGGGGCGGGAGCGGAGCCCGGCCAAGGTGGAGGCAGGAAGGCGCCGGGCTGCGGAGGTGGCGTGGAGTCGCCAGCCTCGCGCCGCCACCCGCCCCACCCCAGTGGCTCCGACCCCCTTGCCCAGGGAACCAGTGGCGGCGACCATTCGGCGGGCTGGCGGGGGCCCACTTCTCCTGCCTGTCGCTGCAGTCGCCGCTCCAACTCATCCTGTCTGGGAGCAAGGAAGGGATGGCTAGAGGCCTGGGTCAGACCCAAGCAAAGTGCAAAAACGTTCCGGGAAGGGTGTGAGAAGGAGGCGCTAGTTATTCCAAATCCTGCTAAAGCCCGAGGAGGCGAACACCGATCGCCAGCGCCTGCTGTGCTGGAATCTGCGCGGCAGATCGATCAAGGACGGAGGCGTTTTAGGATGAGGACCTGGGTTAACGTGAAGATAGTGTGGCTTCCCTGGAGCCCCTGACTCCACTGTGATGTGAATGGGGCTTCTACTTAAGTAACGTGAAACGGTGACAGAGTTGCCGTATAAAAAAAACACATAGAGAATTGGTTTTGTGTTTTTATTTGGGTGCGTGTGTGCTTTTTGGAGCGTCTGTAGAGTAACTCTTCTGGTCGCTCTGTTCATACAGGTTTCTGTATGGTACTGTTTTGGGTAGCCAAGATTCCCCAGGGAATTCACATCGAACTGTCTGGGGCTTAAAGCTCTAATAAGAGTACGAACTATGTCCAGTAGTAGAAGCTTGAAAAATATCTTTATTTTGGGAGTATGGTTTAGTTTAGTTACATCAAAACCCAAACCGCTGAAGAGTCTTCTTTGAAAACGGTGTGTTTATTAGCTTACTTGTGGGTACTTCTGTATGTTTCCACTGATTATCAAACAAGAAGAAATTCACTCTGAAGTTACACATGAGTTGGTAATCCAAAGTCAGCTCTTTACTTTCCTTTGATTTGTAGCATGGAACAACATCTTCCAAAATACTGTATTGCGTTTAAAAGATAGTGAGCAGAATAAATCAAGAAGATGCTGGCTCATGTGGGTTTCCTATTCTTTATGAATACCTGTGGGTTTTTTTTTTTTAATTTGTAAATATCTTGGTATTGACTTTAATTTTTTAAGCAGAATATATTAATTATTAATTTTCCTCATTAAACTAGAAAAAACTGGTGCAATGGCTCGCTTATCTTTCGTTAATTGTAAATTAAGGAAATTGTAAATTATTGATTCCACGGAAGTTATTTCTTCACATATAATGAATCTTAGAGTCCAGAATAACAGGATCACTGTACTAGCAATGAGGGGGCTTGGGTTGTCATCCTTCCTCTGCCGCTAACTAGCCATGTGGCTTGGGGCAGAGCTCACCATCTCTTTGGGTGTCAGTTTCTTCTTTTTGCAAAATGTGTTTCATAATAGTTGTCTTACCTCCTTTACCGTGGCTTTGAGAATTAGATAATACTGAAAAAAAATACTTGGGAAAATATAGTGCTCTCCACAAATCATTTACTCAAATTGTTTTTGTTGTCTCTGGTGTATATGGGTCTGTGAGAGCAATACTGGGAAATAAAGTGAAGTCATAGTATATCGTGGGTAGAATTTTGTGCTTCACTAAGCATTCTGTGATTTGTGACACAAAATACACTATTCCTCATTCATGGAAGAGGAACTTGGGCTGAAAGGTTGAGTTAATGTCACTGGATCAAAGGTACGTTTATGAATAGAACCCTAGGGTTATAGTCTTTAGACATAAACTAAAGCACATTTGTTTGTCTTTCAAAGTTGTTCAGAATTTTCAATATAATATTTTATATTGAGTAAATGACTTTTCCTTATTCTTAAAGGATAAGAAAACATTTCTTTTGAGAAAGAGCATCTTTAGTAAGGAGAGTGAAGAAAAAATCAGAATCAATTTAAAAATCTGGGTGGAATAATTTCTCCAGTAAGCTGATTGACTTGGCTTTTATGCCATGATTATGTCAACAGGAGATAGCATTAGTAGTGGCTACCAAGTGACTGGACTCTAAGTAAAAGCAAGAGCATGGAAGAAAGTGGAATTTTACAGATGCTGTGGTACAGTGGTTAAGAGTTCAGCTGCTAACCAAAAGGTCAGCAGTTCAAGTCCACCTGCTGCTCCTTGGAAACCGTATGGGGCAGTTTTACTCTGTCCTGTAGGGTCACTGTGAATAGGAATCAACTTGATAGCTGTGAGTTTTTTTTGGTATGGTTCTAGTACTGGGTGTGACTTCCCTTGGTTTTAACTGTCATGTGTTGGACTAGTATTTAGCTGCTAGCAGAAACTACTTGCCAATGCGGAATCTGGAAGCCAATCTGGAAAATATCTCTCCAACTTTTGGCATGCAAATACATTGCTGTGAGCTGGTTGGGGGTGTTGCTTCAGTGACCCAAATGGGGTGGCAGCTCTGTTGGTTCTTGGCATTTCTTTGGGCCGAAGTAGCAGTGCTGAGAGACTGAGGGTGGTGCCGTGGGGCTAGGTGTGTTTGAATGCGAGCAATGCAAACCTGGTCAACTCTCTGCCATTGATCACTGTATATAACCACAGCTGCAGAGCCTTGGTGGTGCAGTGGTTTGAGCACTCGGCTCCTAACCCAAAGGTCAGAGAGATTCAGACCCACCAGAGGCTCCACGGCAGAAAAGACCTGGCTATCTGCTCTTGTAAAGATTTATAGCCTATTTAAGCCCTACAGAGCAGTTCTATTCTGTCCTATAGGGTCGATATGAGTCACAATCAACACAACAACAGCACCTGCCAAGCCAGAGGAAGAAATACAAACATTTATGCTGTCTATATGTATGTATAGTTCCTAGGTGACACAAATGGTTATATGCTAGTCAACTCACTGAAAGGTTGGCAATTCAAATCTACCCACAGGCACCTTGGAAGAAAGGCCTGGCAATCTACTTTAGAAAGATCACAGCCATTGAAAACCCTATGGAGCGTAGTTCTACTCAAAAATACATGGGATCACTAAGGGTTGGAATTCACTTCATGACAACTGGTTTTATGCTGTCTATATCTTGTCTACTGAGGAGTAAAGAAAAGAGTACTGATTAATAATTAATTAAAAGTACTTGCTCTCAAGGGTTTTAGAATCAAAATGCAGTGTTACCTTAAAGAAACCTACTTTACGTTATCCAACAGCATTTTATTTTCTTAGAATAGCTCTATATCCTTTTCTCTTACTTTAAAGACTTGTAGAGTTGGATTGCTGAATTTTGTACATGACAATTGGGGCATCTCACTGATGATTGACTATTCAATTTCTATAAATCATTTAGAGAAGGATATAATAGTATTCAAGACTTTGGTGAAAGAAGAGGTGCTAGATGATTTTTTCAACGAGTTAATGGGTTGATTAAACTCTGCTACACTTGCTTCTTAGTGTGGAATAGTATTTATTACCCCACCATGGGCAAGCAAGATACGAAAAAAGGAAACTACTTCAAGGGCAAACAGTTGATGATCCTCCCTCAGAAACTGCTGACACAGGGAGATTTCTTAGAAACATAGAGGTGTAGATATTGAGTAGATATTGATGACTTTTCTCCTCTAAAATTATTACATAATGAAATGTTTTTGAAAAATGAGTGATGGCTTGTTTTGTGTTTTGTATGTGTGTGCTTTTACTTAGTTTTCCCCACTTGAATATTAATTTCAGTTCTTAACAAAAAAAACCATTAATTTCTGGTTTTACATCTACTTGGCTAAGAGCTCAGTCTTCTAACCAAAAGGTCGGCAGTTCGAATCCACCAGCCTCCCCTTGAATACCCTGTGGGGCAGTTCTACTCTGTCCTACAGGGTCACTGTGAGTCAGAATCGACTCGACGGCAATGGGTTTGGTTTTTTCGGTTTACTTCCCAGTAAAGAGACACGTTGGGTTGTCTCAAGTTCCAAATGGTTCTCTTTAATCTTGAGTCTTTTGTTGTTAGTGTTGTTCAGGGCCATCGAGTTGGTTCCAGTCATAGCGATCCCTATGTGCAACAGAACAAAACACTGCCTGGTCCTGCACCATTCTCACAATTGTTGCTATGTTTTGTGCCCATTGTTGCAGCCACCGTGTCAATCCATCTTGTTGAGGGTCTTCCTCTTTTTTGCTGACTCTCTGCTTTACCAAACATGATGTCTTTTTCCAGGAACTGGTCCTTCCTGATAACATGTCCAAAGTCCATAAGGCGAAGTCTCGCCATCCTTGCTGCTGAGGAGCATTCTGGCTGTACTTATTCTAAGACAGATTTGTTCATTCTTCTGGGGGTGTTTAATCATTAGAATGGAACCACTAGTGACTCTGGGTCATCCATTCATTTGATTTGGAACTTACATTTAGATTGATTTTATTCATTTTCAGAAGGAGCCTTGGTGGCACATGCTTAAGTGCTTGGCTGCTAACTGAAAGATTGGCTGTTTGAACCCACCCAGTGGCTTTGAGGGAGAAAGACCTGTCAGTCTGCTTCCATAAAGATTACAGCCAAGAAAGCCCTGTGGGGAAGTTCTACCCTGTCACATGGGGTCACTATGAATCAGAATCAACTCGTTGGCACCCAGCACACACACACACACACAGACACACACACACACACACACACACACAGACACACACACACACACACATTCTCATGCATTCATTTTAAAATTTCTGAAACTCT